TCTATCTATCTATCTCTCTCTCTCTCTCTTTCATCTGTCTATCTGTCTAATCTGTCTAGCTGTCTAGCTATCTATCTATCTATCTATCTATCTATCTATCTCTCCATCTATCGATCTATTGTTGTTGTAGTTGTAGTTGTAGTTGTAGTTGTTGTGGTTGTTGTTGTTGTTGTTGTTGTTGTTGTTGTTGCTGTTGCTGTTGCTGTTGTCGTCGAGCTTAGGGTAGTTAAGTTAGTGAAGTTAGTTAAGTTAGTCAAGTTAGTTAAGTTAATCAGTGTCTACTTTTTCGACCTCTTCACGTCAAAAAAGGCTCAAAACCCCCAGTTTTTTACACTTTTGACTTCGAAATGTGCTTCGCGCCACAACGGCGTGCACTTTTTCAACACTTTTTCGACATCTGAACCTCCAAAAGTGGTCCGAGACCGTCAGTTTTTAACACTTTTGACTTCAAAATGTGCTTGGCACCACAACGGCGTGCACTTTTTCAACATCGCAACTTCCAAAAGTGGTCCGAACGTGGTGTGTTTTGTACATTTTGACTTGGAAATCTGCTTCGCGCCACAACGGCGTGCACTTTTTCGACATCGCAACTTCCAAAAGTAGTCCCGGGGTGTTTTGTACATTTGACTTGGAAATCTGCTTCGCGCCACAACGGCGTGAACTTTTTCGACATCGCAACTTCCAAAAGTGGTCCGACCGGAGTGTTTTGTACATTTTGACTTGGAAATGTGCTTCGCGCCACAACGGCGTGCACTTTTTCGACATCGCAACTTCCAAAAGTAGTCCGAGGTGGGTGTTTTGTACATTTGACTTGGAAATCTGCTTCGCGCCACAACGGCGTGAACTTTTTCGACATCGCAACTTCCAAAAGTGGTCCACTCCTCTAGTGTTTTGTCCATTTTGACTTGGAAATGTGCTTCGCGCCACAACGGCGTGCACTTTTTCATGTCTCATCTGGCCAGCTGGCTCCGCACCCGCTTTTTAGCGAGCCTACTTTTCGACCCTCCGGAGCCACAAATCATTGGAAAAACACAGTGTTTCGCGACTTTCCTACCTTTTCACACATCTTCATCTTCTTTCTTCTTACCCTTCTTTCTTCTACTCTTTCTCTTCTCTCTGCCTCTTCCCTGCTCTGCTTTTCATCTGTCCATATTGTCGGAAGTTTAGCTTCTAAACTTCCTTCGATAAATTATATACATATTTGATCCGTCTTCATCGTCGTGATGCTGCAGCAAGCCGTGTCTCGTGAGGCCTATGCTGCTGGTGTGCCTTCCTGAGTGAATAAAGCTGGTTCGCAAGTTGAACCGTGAAATGCCGATACATTGTCAACCAAGGAATCTGCTCTTCAGCATAGGGCCATACTGGAAGGCAAGAAATGTCATTGCTTCCGAAATCCGGTCCCCGAAATCCGGTCCCCGAAATCCGGTCCCCGAAATCCAGTCCCCGAACCGGTTTTTGAAGTACAGCTCTGGTTACCCCAATGCCAATCAGAGACTTTAAGAGGCGATGACTTAGTCAGAGAGTTGTAAAAGGCAATGACTTAGCAGGATGTACATGTACCTAGTGGAATTCGCCGTCTCATCATCTCTCATTGCCTTTTGCAGTTCGATGTGAAAGTTAGAAGAAGGCTTCCAGGCCCTGAACTTTCCGGTCCCTGAATGTTCTCTTCTTTCCATCCAGTGACCAGAATTCTATGTCGATAAAAAGGAAGGTAATGTCAAGTGAAGACAGAAAGTAAAAGTAGAGATATGTAGAGATGGACTGAACAAATTTCAAAATTTAATAAGGATTGGTTTGAATCGGTTCCCTGATTCCGAAATCCGGTTCCTGAATCCAGTTCCGAAATCCGGTCCCCGAAATCCGGTCCCCGAAATCCGGTCCCCGAACCGGTTTTTGAAGTACAGCTCTGGTTACCCCAATGCCAATCAGAGACTTTAAGAGGCGATGACTTAGTCAGAGAGTTGTAAAAGGCAATGGCTTAGCAGGATGTACATGCACCTAGTGATACCTAGTGGAATTCGCCGTCTCATCATTTCTCATTGCCTTTTGCAGTTCGATGTGAAAGTTAGAAGAAGGCTTCCAGGCCCTGAACTTTCCGGTCCCTGAATGTTCTCTTCTTTCCATCCAGTGACCAGAATTCTATGTCGATAAAAAGGAAGGTAATGTCAAGTGAAGACAGAAAGTAAAAGTAGAGATATGCAGAGATGGACTGAACAAATTTCAACATTTAATACGGATTGGTTTGAATCGGTTCCCTGATTCCAAAATCCGGTCCCCAAAATCCGGTCCCCGAAATCCGGTCCCCGAAATCCGGTCCCCGAAATCCGGTCCCCGAAATCCAGTCCCCGAACCGGTTTTTGAAGTACAGCTCTGGTTACCCCAAGGCCAATCAGAAACTTTAAGAGGCGATGACTTAGTCAGAGAGTTGTAAAAGGCAATGACTTAGCAGGATGTAAATGTACCTAGTGGAATTCGCCGTCTCATCATCTCTCATTGCCTTTTGCAGTTCGATGTGAAAGTTAGAAGAAGGCTTCCAGGCCCTGAACTTTCCGGTCCCTGAATGTTCTCTTCTTTCCATCCAGTGACCAGAATTCTATGTCGATAAAAAGGAAGGTAATGTCAAGTGAAGACAGAAAGTAAAAGTAGAGATATGTAGAGATGGACTGAACAAATTTCAAAATTTAATAAGGATTGGTTTGAATCGGCTCCCTGATTCCGAAATCCGGTTCCTGAATCCAGTTCCTGAAATCCGGTCCCCGAAATCCGGTCCCCGAAATCCGGTCCCCGAAATCCAGTCCCCGAACCGGTTTTTGAAGTACAGCTCTGGTTACCCCAAGGCCAATCAGAAACTTTAAGAGGCGATGACTTAGTCAGAGAGTTGTAAAAGGCAATGACTTAGCACGCTCTACATGTACCTGGTGGAATTCGCCGTCTCATCATTTCTCATTGCCTTTTGCAGTTCGATGTGAAAGTTAGAAGAAGGCTTCCAGGCCCTGAACTTTCCGGTCCCTGAATGTTCTCTTCTTTCCATCCAGTGACCAGCATTCTATTTCGATAAAAAGGAAGGTAATGTCAAGTGAAGACAGAAAGTAAAAGTAGAGATGTGTAGAGATGGACTGAACAAATTTCAACATTTAATACGGATTGGTTTGAATCGGTTCCCAGATTCCGAAATCCGGTCCCCGAAATCCGGTCCCCGAAATCCGGTCCCCGAAATCCGGTCCCCGAAATCCAGTCCCCGAACCGGTTTTTGAAGTACAGCTCTGGTTACCCCAAGGCCAATCAGAGACTTTAAGAGGCGATGACTTAGTCAGAGAGTTGTAAAAGGCAATGGCTTAGCAGGATGTACATGCACCTAGTGATACCTAGTGGAATTCGCCGTCTCATCATCTTTCATTGCCTTTTGCAGTTCGATGTGAAAGTTAGAAGAAGGCTTCCAGGCCCTATTGAATTTCGCGAGCTCTCGTTTATCAGAAATTGCGATTGAAATTCACCAACATGTGTTGAAACATTAGGTTGCGCCAAAATGAATTGTTTTTTATTCAATTTTGGGGAAACGAGACTTGTGAACACATATCATGAGATGCCGCCCTAGAACACATGACCATACAGCCATTAGCCACACTCATACAGACAGAAAGTTGATTAACTGCACTGGCACAGCAGTCTCAAAGTTCATGGGCTTAAAAAAAAAGTTCAATGATGTAATCTAACAGCTTTGTGTGAATGATGATTATCAACACATGACAGATTTAATTGCTGAAACCATTGCAGATCTATGAATGGCAACCCAAGCTGGCAAAGCATTGCAACATCTAAGAAGTATGGCTTGAGTTGTCAAACATAAATGGGTCAGACATTAAGTTCTTATTGATTGATTAAACCATGCGAATTGGACAAATGTGATCTTGGCCTATGCAAAATCGATCAACTATGGTCATAAGTGATCATTTTCATGGCCACTAAAGCTTTGCAAAATTCTTCACACAGAATGTGTGGCAGAATGATGGTAATAGGTTTCGTTTGTGAAAAACTGCAAGCCACACACAAAGTTGTATGCAAAACCAATAATGATTACTAAACTTCAGTTTAACACATACATTGGGCGAAATCACCAACTTTAACAGGAATTTGGGTACTAAGCAAGTTTGTTTTGAAGTGCATGTGCAAGTGTGAAGTGGAGGCATGTTGCTTTATAGTCCAACTCATATTGGAAAAACAACTAGTGCAAACAAGATGAATGTGCACAATATGTGTAAAAAAGTTTGAAAACAGCTTCCAAAACCACTCAATTTGAAACTTTTTTACACATATTGTGTCCCCAAGACTGGTGTGTATCAGAAATTCTGATACCAATCAGGTTTTGACATCCAAAAACATATGTATCAGAAATTTCTGATATGTATCATAAAATTTTGATATGTATCATAAAAAAATATATATCAGACATTTCTGATATGTATCAGAAAAATCTGATATGTATCAGAAATTTCTGATATGTATCAGAAATTTCTGATATGTATCATAAAATTTTGATATGTATCATAAAATTTTGATATGTATCAGAAAATTCTGATACATATTTTTTCAAGATGCATCAGAAATTTCTGATATCGTTCAAAAACAAACAACAAATGCATATTGTAAGGCACACCCCAAAAAAAATAACTTGGGCAGCTGGCAGCCGGCAGCCCTAGAGTCTGAGTATTTAGGTAAGCAGAGCCGCCAACTTAGTTTATGTTTGTGACTACAAAAGGTGGTATCATGGCTACAAATGTATAGTAACCCGTTAGCTGCTTGCTAGAGTTGAGCTTTAGACTTTAGCCTCAAGCTTTTGGGTACGGACCAATCGCTAGTGTCATGCAACCTGTTAGTATGGATGTTAAGCACATACAGGTCATTCTGTTGGTCTGTTGGATTTTGGGCCCATTTCAAGTCGCTAAAGATTTGCATCTTATTCTATTGCTTTTGTTGCTGGTTTGGAGGTTGCCTGCGTGGCGATGCGATATGTGTTTTTAAGTAACTTTTTTCCCCCCCATACTTTTGAACACATCTGTGGCTCCCCCGTAGGCCAGACTATGTTGTGAACACATAACAGCCCAAGAAACATAACCCCACGAAATTTAGCACCAGGCCCTGAACTTTCCGGTCCCTGAATGTTCTCTTCTTTCCATCCAGTGACCAGAATTCTATGTCGATAAAAAGGAAGGTAATGCCAAGTGAAGACAGAAAGTAAAAGTAGAGATATGTAGAGATGGACTGAACAAATCTCAAAATTTAATAAGGATTGGTTTGAATCGGTTCCCGGATTCCGAAATCCGATTCCTCAATCCGGTCCCCGAAATCCGGTCCCCGAAATCCGGTCCCCGAAATCCGGTCCCCGAAATCCGGTCCCCGAAATCCAGTCCCCGAACCGGTTTTTGAAGTCCGGCCCTGGTTACCCCAAGGCCAACCAAAGACTTTAAGAGGCGATGACTTAGTCACAGAGTTGTAAAAGGCAATGACTTAGCGCGATCTACATGTACCTAGTGCAATATCACCAATCTTTTTTAAATCAAGGAACCCATTAAATTATCAATTACGTTTTTTTATGAGATTCTTTGATGCCATGTGAAGCCTTGAAAAGGGCTACCAACCAAACATGTTCGTCATGTTTTTAGCAGCCCTTGACGCGTCGATGAGTTCTGCTTGCCAGGTAGTTGTGGGAAATGCGCAAAGATTGCGCTCCAGATTTGTGAGGATGTGCTGAGGCGAGTTTGTGCCATGCGCATTGACAGATCGTGACCTTTTTAAGTGTAAGGGTAGAATGTCAGCTTTAAGAGCTTTATCGAAGGAAGTTTAGAAGTGAAACTTCCGACAATATGGACAGTTGAAAAGCAGAGGTGAGAAGAGTCAGAAGAGACAAGATCAGAAGAAAGAAGATGCAGATGCGCGAAAAGGTAGGAAAGTCGCGAAACACTGTGTTTTTCCAATGATCTGTGGCTCCGGTGGGTCGAAAAGTAGGCTCGCTAAAGCGGCGGGTGCGGAGCCAGCTGGCCAGATGAGAGATGAAAAATTGCACGCCGTTGTGGCGCGAAGCACATTTCCAAGCCAAAAGTGTTAAAGACTGGCGGTCTCGGACCACTTTTGGAAGTTGCGATGTCGAAAAAGTGCACGCCGTTGTGGCGCGAAGCACATTTCCAAGTCAAAATGTACAAAGCACACCATTCTCGGACCACTTTTGGAAGTTGAGATGTCGAAAAAGTGCACGCCGTTGTGGCGCGAAGCACATTTTGAAGTCAATATGTACAAAACACCTCAGTGTAATCTTTTGCAGCTGAAGATCGTAAATCGTATTGGAGTGGGTGCATCAAGGCTGCGACAGTGATTAGTAGTACTGGGAAGTGATTCATGAAAGCTTAGATGAATTTAGATGACATATGAGAAGAGATGAGATGAGAAGAGATGAGCGGGGATAAGGTGAGAAGGGCTTAGATGAGATGAAGTGTGGAGTGTGAAGAGTGCAGTGTGAAGTGCGGGGCGTGAAGGGTGCAGTGTGAAGTGTGAAGTTTGGAGTGTGAAGAAAGCAGTGAGAAGTGAGAAGTGTGGACTGTGAAGTGTGAAGTGTGGACTGTGAAGTGTGAAGTTTGGAGTGCGAAGGGTGCAGTGTGACGTGTGAAGTGCGGAGTGTGAAGTGTGGAGTGTGAAGTGTGGAGTCTTAAGAGTGCAGTGTGGAGTGTGAAGTGTGTAGTGTGGAGTGTGAAGACTGCAGTGAGAAGTGCGAAGTGCGAAGTGGAGCTTCAAATGTGACATGTGAAACAAGACATCAGTTTCGCAGAGTGCACGCTCGCACCGGCTTGGCTGGCGCACGGCGCAGGCAAGTTTTATAGATGAGAAAGGTCTTATATATATCTTTAAGGCAACTTCCGCCTCGCCTCGTGCGGGTACTACTGGTATATGAAATATCTATGGGCACACAGCGTTTGGGGGTCTACCGCTTTAGACCTCCACATCCCTAAGCACCCAGCGTTTAAGGGGTGAGGGTCCTTAAACTAGCAGCGCTTAGGGACACTGAAGCAGTCAGGATCCTGAAGCACGCAACGCTTAAGGGGTTAGGACAAACAAGCATGAAGCCCTTAAGGGGTGAGGTGCCTTAAGCACGCAGCGCTTAGGGACACTTGAGAACTCCATGCTTAAAGGGTCAGGATCCTTAAGCACGCAGCGCTCAAGGGGTCAGGATCCTTAAGCACGCAGCGCTCGAGGGGTCAGGATCCTTAAGCACGCAGCGCTTAAGGGGTCGGTATCCTTAAGCACGCAGCGCTTAAGGGGTCAGGATCCTTAAGCACGCAGCGCTCGAGGGGTCAGGATCCTTAAGCACGCAGCGCTTAAGGGGTCGGTATCCTTAAGCACGCAGCGCTCGAGGGGTCAGGATCCTTAAGCACGCAGCGCTTAAGGGGCAGCCTACTCACGGCTCTGCCACCCGGGACGGCGCGGCCCTGGAGGCCGCCGAGCGTCGCAAGCACCGGGCTTACCCGGAATTGCTGCGCGGGGGGCCACAACGCCTCCTTGTCCTCGGCGCCGAAACGGGGGGGCGATGGAGCCGCGACTGCTTCTCCCTCATGCGCATCTTGCTGACTGCCCGATCGCGCCGCACGCCGTCCCTAGTGCGCCGGGCCATGTGCTCTGGGTGGCAGCGGCGCTGGTGGGCGCTCCTCGCCTGTGCGGTGCAGCGTGCCGTGGCGATGAGCGCCACCTCGGCGCCATGGGCTTCCACGCCCCCTACGCCTGCCACACCCCCTTGCCCCTTGGCCATCCTCTCTCTGGCTGACTTCGCGGGCCCCAGCCGCCTCGGCTTCCCTGCGTAGCGCGGCCCCTTGCTTCGGACGCGAGACTTGAACTCTGCAGCTAAAAAGGTGCGCGGAAAAAAAAAGATTGAAATCTAATTCTGAATGCCCTTTGTGTGTTTAGATTTAATTCGAATTGCGTCTTCCTTTGTTTCCTTTTCTTTTTCTTTTTTTCTTGTTCTTTCTTGTTCCTGATTTTGACGGCGGCTCACCTATATGTATATATATATATATACAGTTTAAGCCGCTTTCGAGCTGCAGCTTTCCAAGCGATGCCCCGCTTTGCCGCAAGCAAGACATTTGCGCGTCATGCAAGAGGTTGAAACTTTGATGCTCTTGTATATGACAACTTCACTTCTTCAAAGCTTGTCACTTCTGTAAACATAGATTGATAATTTTGCGGTGCCTGATTTTCACTTTTCTGCACACGAAGTTTGAACTGTTGAAAGATGAAATTTGTCTGCATGATGAGGCAAGCTGAAATTATATGGGAAAACGTAGGAAAATTAACATGCAAAT